TCTTAGATTTTGCTGGTGTCATCATCTTTATGTTTAGAGAACAAGTTAAGAGAAATTAACATTACTTCTTAATTAATTTAGATGTATTTAGTGTGAATCCCATGTCTTGTTTTGCTTGGTAAACTAGGAAAGATGTGTTTCAGTGTTACCATGTACAGTAATATTCTAAACCCAATGTGATAGCCAAATAATTAATTTCCAAATCTACCTAAAGTTATATATTAAGTTATTAGTAAGCTTACGACAAAGCTTGTAAGTTGTTCAAACTTCTTATTGTCTAACAATGTAGTCTTCTAACCGAACTACCAAATCATAATCTTCTAACAATGTATGACATGTATTGTTACAAACTCGTCCACTTAAATTCTCATGTTATTGTCAGTGTTAGACAAAGTTTTTTATAATATTATCGGTTATAGAACTTTCATTCGTTTTTATTATGTCATATTTTAAAAGAAAAATATTTGAATTTAAATCAGAGACTATATTATTGAAATGAAGAATTCCAAACTTCCTACTTACATGAAATGTAAAGAACTCCCAACAAATTAAAAGAAAAAACCCACCAAGTGAGTCATTGATTGACACAAGGCCACAAGGTTTTGACATTTTTGGAGGTACCAACTAGTGAAGGTTCTTTACATCACATTACCATTCAAATAAAGGGAAGGTGCTCATTCAAGAATATGTTTAGGGCAATTTGGAGTTTCTCTCTCTTTGTTTGGACCAAAATAGACCAAGGGCAATAAATATGTATCATGTGGTTGTGATAATGGTCATGGTTGTGGCAAGCAAACACTTTGGTCAAGCAACACTTTGGTCGTGTTTCTGGTGCACGAGGAGCATGCCACTAGTTTTGGCAAATAAAGGAAGTCCATCAGGAATATCTATTTACATGGTTCTGTTTATAAAAACCAGGATTAGAGGAGACAACAGTACGTTCTTAAAGTTTTGGCAATATGAATGGTGTTAAATGTGTTATTACGTTTTCTTGTGTATTCATTCAATGAAAAAGTTCTTTTGTTGTTTTTAGTTGTAAAAAAATCTTGTTAGTAATTAATCTTAAGGTTATAATTATATCTTAAAATGATATTAAACTTTGTCAAAGTCGTTCGACACACACAAACTCAAGTTTTAAACTTTAAAAAAGTGAGGGAACCGTAATGATGGTTGATGGCCTTTACTTTGGTTATTTAGCATTTAACATGTTAATTTCATTTTATAGGGCATGAAAGGAACAATAAACGTGTGGGTTAGTTTAGTAATTTACTCCATTTTCAAATTTGAAATAATCTTTAGGAGAACTAATAAAAAAAATATATAGCAATCCTCCATATTCAATCCCAATGGAGAAAGAATCAAGATCTTGAAGCAACAATATTACATATAATTTGTTTGGATCCCAAAAAAAAATCATAAATTTTTATTTAACAATCTACAAACATGTACCATGGTTAGATAAATATCTAAAAATAAATAAATAAATAAATCAAACTTTTATAAATTTATCGATAAAATAAAAGTAAATTTTTTGATCATTAAAAACACACCCTCTAATCTACTCTTAATTCACGGGACAAAACCATCAACCATTTAGGGAGAGACGCAATTTAACCACTAAATAAGTGCACAATAAATAACGAGTTAACAATTTTATAAGATCTCAACTCAAATTTTTATTGAGATTTTTTATATTTGTAGCTTGGCTTTATTATTATTAAAGGTATACTCTTCATACATATCTTTAAGTTGGTAAAACTTCTGAATAAAACTTGTTTTCTATGTTAGGGTTTTGATAAATATTTTTACGCAATTTAAGCTACATCAAGAAGAAATGATCATTTTTAAACATGCTAGATTTGCAAAAACATTTAATCCAAATCGAGAATCTACACATAAAACAAAAACAAAGAAAAGCAGCTCTTTTAGACCATCAAAAAGCATTATCTTTCAACAAATTACGACTTTAAATAAAGTAGTTCAATGGAATTTTCAACCAATCTTTATGTAATTTATTATTACTACACCAAATAGTATGATCCAATAAGAGTTGACTATTTCACATGAATCTCCTCAAAATCCCACAAATCAGTGATTCAAACTTCAAGATCTATGATTTTTGTAAAGTAACATCAATCAAAATTCAAGATGTGAGAATTAGTCAAACTTCAACAGCATTTGCAGATCATACGAGTAAAAAATGAAGACAAGCATAAATCAGAAATAAAAAAAGCTTCACGATGATAATTAATTAATAGAAATACAAGTAAAAATGTTGATGATTATACTATAAAATTTGAAAACAAAAGTATGATAATAACAATAAAAACCCAGAAAAACCAAAACCAGTTGCAGTAGCAACCGATGATGGATATTCTCTATACATAAAACATCTCTGAAACCTACAAATTTTCCCTGGCAATTTATTTTCACAAATCGAATTATCTCATAACAATTTCGAATAAATATTGGGGGAAAGAATCCTCCTCTTACCTCTTTTTTTTTTCTTCCATTCTTGCGTCTTTGATTATCTGTTTTTCTGAAGATGATCATGTAATAATGCCCGCAAAAATCTAATCCTGATGTTTCGTCATCACTAGATTGTGATGAAAAATTCGACAATGGTGGTTGTAGTGTAATAATTGCAGGGCTTTGTTGGAGTTTTGAGTACGAGAATTACAGGAAAATTCTTAAAAGAATCAATAGAAGGGTGGTGGAGGAGGAGATGCGTATGTGACTCCAATTACAGGAGGTAGTGGGCCCTCGTATGATGGAGCTGGAGGTGGTGGGCTCTCGTATATTACTGGTGGAGGTGAAGGATGGTGGATTGGTGGCGGTGAATTGTGGTGGACTGGAGGAGGCGAGGAGGGTGAGGGTGGTGGCGGTGAGTATTCTGTGCAAGGAGGTGGTGGTGGTGGAGGTTCTATACAGAGAGGGGGTAATGGTGGAGGTGGAGAATGGACTGGTGGAGGTGGAGAATGGACTAGTGGAGGTGGTGAATGATATGTCGGTGGTGGAGGTGAAGAGTAGATATAGGATGGTGGTGGAGGTGAATGGTGTGGTGGAGGAGGTGAATGGTGTGGTGGAGGTGGTGAGTTATAGTAGTAAGGAAGGGGAGGAGGTGGGGAATAAAAGTGTGGGGGAGGTGGAGATGCAGCGGGAGGTGGTGGTGGTGGTGGTGGTCTTACACAATAAGGCGGAGTTATTGAAGGAGGTGGAGGTGATGGAGGAGGTGGTGACGGTGGTGGTGGAGATGGAGGGGGTGGTGGCGGTGGTGGAGGTGGAGGTGATGGTGAGGGCGGTGGTGGAGATGGGGGTGGAGGTGAGGGTGGTGGTGGAGAAGGTGGAGGAGGTGGTGGAGGTGAGGGTGGTGGTGGAGAAGGTGGAGGAGGTGGTGGAGGAGATGGTGGTGGGGGAGATGGTGGGGGAGGTGATGGTGGAGGTGGTGGTGGGGGAGACGGTGGAGGAGGTGATGGTGGAGGAGGTGATGGTGGAGGTGGTGGAGGGGAGTAAACTGGCGGTGGGGGTGAAGGTGGAGGTGGAGGTGGTGGAGGTGGAGGAGGTGAGTAAACTGGTGGAGGGGGAGACGGTGGAGGTGGTGGCGGTGAGTAAACAGGTGGAGGAGGTGAAGGTGGCGGCGGTGGTGGAGGAGATGGCGATGGTGGGGTATAAACAGGAGGCGATGGAGTCACAACAGGTGGTGAAGGAGTCGCAACAGGTGGCGAAAGTACAGGCACCGGAGACGGCGGTGGAGGAGATGGCAGCGCCGGAACAAACGGAGAACACCGAAAAGCACTGCAACGTATCTTCTTCGACGCAAACATCTTACACTGATTAGCCGACCTCTGTGCCGGCCTCGCCGGCAAACAATTTCTCCGATCATCAAACACTTCCAAATTCAAACAAACCGGCGGCTCCCCAGTGAAGAAATTATCAGAATAAGTAAAGTTCTCCAACCTCGGCAACCTACAAACACTTTCCGGTATACTTCCCGACAAGTAATTATGAGCCACATTAAGCTGTTCCACACTCACCAAACCAGAAATACTCTCCGGCAATGGTCCCATCAACTGATTAAAACTCACATCCAACACCGTTACCTGATTCAGCATCCCAATTTCATCCGGCAAACACGATCTCAACCCATTATGCATCATTATAATCTCATTCAACGTATCAGACATGTTCCCAATGCTCGCCGGAAGACACCCATGGAACTTGTTATTTGCCAAAACAATAACCGACACCGGCGAATTACCAAAATTATCTGGCAATTCAAATTGAAACCGGTTGTGGTTGATAAAAATGGCATCCAAGTCTTTATCAAATAGCTCTTTAGGCACATTACCTTCAAATTCATTAAACCGGATATCCAAAAACTTTAATTTCGGTAATTTAAGAACAACATTAGGGAATTTTCCGGCGAACCTGTTGTTGCTGATATCAAGCTCGAAGAGTATCTTCAGCTTCTGAAACTTTTTCGGAATTGTTCCGCAGAACCGATTGGAATTGATGTGGAACAAAGCAAGATCAGTGAGGAGTCCGAGTTCCTCCGGTAAGTACCCTGCAATGTCGCCGTGGTTGAGGTCGATTCCGGCGACTGTTCTTTCAGACCGGTTATCCGGCGCCGGAGCACAAAACACTCCGGTGTATCCACCGCACACGTCAGATCCAACCCAATCGGATGTCAGATTTTGTGGATCTGAGAGTATTGCTTGCTTCCATGCTTGTAAAGCAATGTAAGCATTTCTGAGCCTAGGGTTTTCAAAAACCAACGAAGGATCAACGGTTACATTCTCCCCACGGTCGCCGAACTCATCCAGGTAATACAGCAGCTGCCGTTGCCGGATGTACATGGCCTCACTGTCAGTGAGCGGACCAGAACCTCTAACACCGCTACCTCCGCCGTCACCATCGGAAAAACAAGAAATACGAGCAACTGATAATGTAAACAGAACAAAGTACAAGAGATTGAAGTAATGCGATGAGATGTTCTTCATCTCAAGAAATTAGACATCTGATGCTTGAGCAAAACTTTTGAAAATGAAAACCCAAAACCCAAAACTCAGAAAAGCAATCCGATGAGATTTTTGAAAATGTAGCAAGGAAAGAGGGTTTTGAGATTTGAGTGATGGAAGGAGGGATTTTTCTAGGGATTTTGGGAGAGCGTGTGAAGGGGGATGAGAGAGAAGAAGACAGCTAAATCACAGCTCAAAACCCACCAGATACTCTCTCTCTAAAAATCACTTTCTCTTTCTAAAATGTAAGAAGGGATTATTTATTGACAATTGAGGTGAAACGATGGAGCCGGCAAGGCTGCCGCCGTGGACATTTACTTAAATTTTCAAAAATATATTACATAAGAGTAAATTACACGAATAGTCCCTGTAATTTGGGTTAATTTATACATTTTGTCATTAACTTATTTTTTTAACTTGAGAGGTCTTTTACTGTTTGTTTTTGTTGTGTGTTTTGTTCCTGTCTTACCTAAAAAGATTATTTTGCCCTTGATTTTTTAATTTATTTAAATAAACACACATCAACCCCACTTCCACCTTACCTTATATTACCTTACCCACCCCACCTTATTTAAATAAATTAAAAAATCAAGGGCAAAATAGTTTTTTTAGTTAAGACAGAGACCAAGCACGCAAGAAGTACAAACTGTAGTAACCTTCCGAGTTAAAAAAAATAAGTTAGGAACCAAACGTACAAAATTACTCTAAACCATAATGACCATTTGTGTAATTTATTACATAATTATAACCATATACTATATTGCAAAATCTTCAACTAACCATCATTTTAAGCAAATGAATATTTACTCAAATTTTCGAACTTGCGAGGATTCTTATTTAAAACTTGAATTTGTGGATTTTATTTCCCATATCCTTTGACAATAATATAAATGAAGAAACTTGTCGGAAAAATATAAAGAATGATTGCATAATTTTAGTAAGTTTTTTTATTATATGGTATAAATCTTCATAACATTTTGGTCAAAAATCTTCAAAATAACTTTTTCAAAATCAACATATTCGAAAATCATCAAATTGCTCGAAAATCATAATAAGAACTATGTTGAAAATTTAATAAGATCTAGTATCATGAATACTAGTTTACGGATTGGAAACATACAATTTGTATACAATTTGTAAATACGAACAAACATATGAGATTGCTTTTGATTCAATTTTGTTTTTTAAACCGCGTTCGAATATAAATAAAATTAAGTAGATATTTGTGTAAATTATTAAATTTTAGGTGGTAAGTTAAATTAAGTTAAAAGAATGTAATCGGCCTTGAGGTTGTGCCTGGTGTGCGACCGCATGAGATAACGAAAAATTTGAAGCCCAACGGAATGTTTGCATAGTAATTGTTTAAATAAAAAGAAAATGCACTTAATTTAGTAACTGCGTTTCTTTTACTTTAATCAAACAAATATGAATCATTGTTTTAATATTAAAAAATAAAATCATATAGTATGGCCTTTTTTGTTTTCGCACAGGCCTAATGGCCCATGATATAATCAGGGCGACATTGTTTAAGAACATATTTTGTAAATGATTGTATTAATTAATGTTAGCAAAATGCACTATTTAATATGATAAAATGAAAAACTTAGTATTTGATTATATAATTCATTCATTTAAATCAAATGTAGGATAATAGGCTTGGCTTTGGGTTTGTGAACTACTACGCGAAGCCTTACCGTTATTCCACTTACTTGAGATCGATTACACTCGAACGATTACTAACCAAACAACCAAACGATTATCATCGGGCAATCTTTTTTCAATTTATAATTTATTTTGACCATGAGTGACAAACTATTTTTTTAAAAAAAGGTGTTATTCTTTGAACAAAGAACAAGAAACACCCACAAGGTGACTTGTCGTTATCATCAACTCTCTTGATTGCATTATGCATTCCAATAAGCAGGGCCGGCCCAATAGGGCGGGCAAGTTGGGCGACGGCCCCGGGCCTCACTACGGTTTGGGGCCCCAAATTAATTTTGTTTGATATATATATATATATATATATATATATATATATATATATATATAACTGATTTGTGTCAAAAGATTTACCAAGGTTTAAGTAGATGAGGTGTGTGGCGTTGAACGTATCCACATTAGTTATCCATTACTAAACAACTTATTCTCTTAGTAATTCTCATAGAATAATAGTACTGTCCACACGTCCGCACAATAGTTGTTCATCCACATTATAACTTTTATATATATATATATATATATATATATATATATATATATATATATATATATATATATATATATATATATATATATATATGTTTGGGATACATGATAACAAACAAATGAACGCTATATAATAGATAGCATTATAATAGAAGTAGTAAGATGTAATTGTGAATGAGAATAAAGTTTTTCTTATGTCATTTCTAATTTTTGCTTTTTCTAAGTTTTCTACTATATTTGTGGTTTAATATTAATAATGCAATTGTTGGCATTTTGAAGTTATATCCCTTTGTGAAAACGTTTTTTATTTTAAATTCATACATATTTGAAATTTCGAACATGTTATTTGTTATAAAAAAACACTTTTTCCGGTTTAAAATGTCAACAAAAAATAGACGAAAACATCAAAAATTTCGATTAAGATTTTCATACTCGAAATGAGGGAAATCTATTGAAAAGTCATTATGTTTAGGCCTCATAATCGATTTAGTCTTTATCAATTTTTTAGTAATTAAGGCCCAAAAACCGTCAATTATAGTTATTTTCACCATTTTACCGGTAAACTGTCGATAAACTGGTGACCAACAAAATATAAAAACTTTTTCGCAAATAAGTTCAATATATAAGAATTTTTCTTCAAATATATAATTTTTAATTTTTTTAGTATTATCTTATCATTTTAGTATTTGTTTTGTCTAACAGATTGCATTATCATATATTAATTTTATGGTATTTTTTTTATAAATAATATATATTATGAAAATAGTTTTTTTCTTCTAAAAATAATCGTTTTTATAATATTTTTGTCTAATGGATTGTAATATCTAATCTTATTATGTTTTATTTGTATAACAGATAGTATTTATTACGAAATATTTTTTTTCTTTTAAAAATAACCGTTTTATAGTACTTTTGTCTAATAAATTAGTATCTTATATTAGTCTTATTGTATTTTCTTTATCTGATATAAAATATCTATTATGAAAATATATTTTTTTTTCTTCTAAAAATAATCGTTTTTATAATAATATTGTCTAACATATTGTATTATCTTACATAATTTTATGATGTTTTCTTTATCTGATGGACAATATCTATTATGTTTTTTTTTCTTTTAAAAATAAATATTTTGTAATACTTATGTCTAACATATTAATATCATATATTAATCTTATGATATTTTCTTTGTCTGTTTGAAAATATATTATGAAAATAGTTTTTTTTTTCTAAAACTAACTGTTTTTATAATATTAATATAAGATAACATTCTGTTAGAAAAAAATATTATAAAAACGATTATTTTTAAAAGAAAAAAACTAATCCATAATATATATTATATGTTAGGCAAAGAATATATATATATATATATATATATATATATATATATATTTATATTTATTTATTTATATATATAATAAGATTAATATAAGATAATACAATTCGTTAGACATACATATAATAAAAATGATTATTTATAGAATAAAAAAAGTATTTCATAATAGATATTCTTTGTCAGACAGAAAATATCATAAGATTAATATAAGATACACACAAAAGAAAATATAATAAGATTAATGTAAGATAATACAATCTGTTTGACAAAACTATTATAAAGCCATTATTTTTAAAAGAAAAAAATTATTTTCGTAATAGATATCATTTGTCAGACAAAAAAATACCAAAAGATTAATGTAAGATAATACAATCCGTTAGACAAAAACATATATACTAAAATAATAAGTTAATATTAAAAAAATTAGAAATAATATATATATATATATATATATATATATATATATATATATATATATATTTTAAAATCCTTATATTTTTGGATTTATTTGTGAAAAGATATTTATACTTTGTTGGTGACACCAGTATTTTACCGGATCAAAATGAATACAACTGACGGTTTTTTAGATTTAATTGACTAAAGAAAAAGAAATTATGATTAAATCAGTATGAGGTCTAACCATAATGATTTTTCCATATATTTTCGATCGAAATAATCTATTTTTCAAAGATATTTACAAATCTAAAACAATGTGAGTATCCCACAATTTTAACATATCGCCCCTCAACTTTAGTCTTGCAAGACTATGTCACATGGTCCACTTGAATTTTTGTTTTCATTATGATCATAATCCATCACATGTGATAAAATTGAAACGAACGGGATAATATATTAAAATGGATATTTTTTGTATGGGTTCAAGTGGATTGGAGTGAATCGATCCAAATTACTTTTTTTCTAATTTTAATTTAGGTCATTAGGAGTGGTCGATGGGCATTTGAGAGTTTAGAACGTAAAATCAAATGATTATTATTTAAATAAAATCGATAAAAAATGAAAAAAAAATCAAACAATATTAGTTGCTGGCTCGGATTAATTCGAGTGGTATAAACCAAAAAAAAATTAAAGTTCTTAAAATCGTACCCGACGAGGTCTTATATATTTATATATTTTTACAATTGTACTGTTACTAATAGGGAAGGGGTGGGTGGTGGTTGCCAACGGTAGCATCAGCGCACCTGAGAATGATGTCGATTGTCGATTGAGATGGCTGATAGGCAGATGAGTGATGTCTGATGGTGATCGTTTGACGATTGTGAGGCTTGGAGATGTAACGTCGTTTTGCTCTCACTTGATTATTGTTTTTCTTTAAGTTATATTGTACTACTCGTATCGGATTGAGCTATTAAAATATAAAATATCGGATATAAAAATGAGATTTATACATGTATTTTAGTTGTCTAAAATACCATGTTAGTTCATT